TATGCTTCTATATATTAAAAAGTAGTTTAATTGCAAGTAACTGAGTTCGTTCACTAATGCACAAAGTTCTATATGTGATTTCTGTTTTGGACTCTATTCTAAATCACAATTGAGTGAAAATCAGTTTTAAGCCTGTGCTGCTTGAATCTGTCATCCTTAAACTCAATTAAGTTGTATGTTGAAAGAACAGGTATGTTACAGCTATGAATGACCAGTATAATGAGCAGTATAACTGCTAAAAATTTAGGTTGGATTCTACCTTATACCTGATGAATATACATGCAAGCTCTTCAGGATAGTGGTAGGTCTTGTGGGCTAAAACATAAGCAGCTTGTAGGATCCTTAGATTGGGGTTTGAAAAAACAATTTAGTGGTTAGTTGTATTTATAACACTCCCTATAAGTAGAGAATGCAACATGTTTAGTGGTGGTCAGATACATTAATAGCAGGATCCATAAAGAAATATCACTAGATAAATAAGCAGATATAGTGAACTTTCCAAATCATTTTGGTGAAAAATAAGAATAGCTTTCTAGCCAGAAGTAGACACTGCTGATAACACTCCACACTTTTGTGGGAATGTTGGAGGGGCTAATCCAGTAGGACAAAGGTCTACTGGTGAAAATCTAAGGAATTCCTGGAACAAAGAGTAATTATCCAAAAGAGGAAGCAGGACTACTCCATTGTGATGGCCCCCACCTTTGCCAGGGTCTGCAGGCAGGCCATCCATGTAGCTTGTGCAGTATTAAGATGTGCCACCTTACCTTGAAAGACTCACCAATAATGCACATTAAAAGTGCCAGTATTTAAGATTATGAGGAGAATTTAAGAAGAATGTTAAGGAGCAGATAATTGTTCTAAATTAAGTTCTTCTGAATTAGGTCATCTGAGATGATTGTCAGTATAATGCCACTGTTATAGTAAATTAATGAAGCTCTCTGGAGTATACACCTTGTTTAAAGGAAAGTAGCAAAGGTTGCACCCAAGAGACATGCACTGAGGGCAAGTACAGTTATGTCAAGATAACCTTATTCCCAGGCAACCTTAAGACTAGTAAAATACCATGCTTGATAAATCTGCATATGAATTCTTTTATTGATTCCTTGTGTTCCTGAAAGTAAGAGGACCTTTCTTAGCCTCAGTTTCTGTGACTGCAAAGTAAATTGTTTACATTTTGTTATGTGTGATTAATTAATTCCTGTGAAGCATTTTGCACATCAAAAAAAGATGTTGCTGTCTGTAGAGAGTAGTGACTATTTTGGCAGTAATACAAAGTGGTATTGCTGCAGAAAAAGACTGTCTAGGTTTGGTTTTGTTTTCCTCTGCTGTCTTGGTGTTGTGAACACAAACTTTCGTGTGGCATTTTATAGAGGGAGACTGCACTTGAGTCTCATCTTCTTCCCTGTCCCCTTCCAATACACACAGGCCCCTTGCCGTCGATTCATAGTGTAAAGCTAAGCAAGGCTGTGGTTCTGCCTGGTTCTTGCTTTTTTTTTAAGGGGACAGTCTGCATCCACAAAGCTACCTCTGAATGGAGAGAGCTGCTGCTCTACAGCTTTATTTACTGGGGTCTGAACAGAAGCTCAGCAGTGATCTAACTATTCTATTTAAATACTGAAATCATGTTTTTAAGATGATTCAATTTTCTTTATAAGAATAAAGGGATGGATTTGTTAAAATAATTTTTGAAAATTGGAATCTATGGGAGTCTGGTGCTCAGACATGTAACTAGAATACACTGCTTGCATTGTTTAAAAAGGTGTAATTTTTAACCCAGCCCACTCCACCCCCCTTCTACCTGACACATTAGTTTTAGACTTGGAAAAGAATCCTTTATAAGTGATGCTTCCAACTGACATATTTATTTTGACAATGCTTTGTTGTCAACAGTATCCAAATTACCTTTTCACCATCATGTTGATTGGCAGATGTCTATTTTCAGACTGGCTACGGGTAAGAAGTTGATGGAAGTGCCATTGTGTCCTTTCTTTATAGAAGAAACCCATTAACAATTTATTTTCGTTCTAATCTCACAATTCATAAGACTTTCCAGTTTCCTGCTCTATAACCATCTAGCATAAAGTCCATACATCATTACTGTATCACTTGAACTTGATTCCTTATGCTTAGAATGGGTTAATTCAATGGTGTTCAACTTTATAATATAAATTGTTTTAATTCAATAAACAAGGAAAGTAAAAATTTAAAAAATCAGGTCCTGATGGCTTATTGGAAGACCTGAATAAAACCAGAAAATATCTGAATGACAGCTTGCAGATCATTCAAACAATTGCCTTAGTCCTATGTGCTTCTTAAAAGAATGTTCCTTATTTTCTAAAGTTTTAACCTACACTGATTTAAAATGTTAAGAACAACCCATGTAAATCTTTACAGAAAGAAATGGATGAGCCCTATAATGACTCAAACTTGATTCTGTGTGTAGATAGACAATTTTAGAAAATGAGTTTTTGACAGTGCAATGGTAGGCTGTAAACTGATTAACAGATCATATGACTAATACAGCTGAGATGGAATAGAACTCGCATGAGAGAACATAAATCTGCTCCATTTAGCAGATCTCCCTGTGTTTGTAACAGTACAGCTTTTAATTGACTATGGCATTGTCAGAAACTGGGTTTCTGACAAATTGAGTGCTGAGTGTGTACCTACTTGTAATACTTTCAATTATCTCTGATAAAAAGCATAAGTTAGACAGTAGGTCAAACATATATATATATCTGGCTGGCTATGAAATCAAGATTATTCTACAGAGAAGCATTAAAGCTTATTTAAAATGAATGGAAATATTCCAGATTCCAGTGATAACTTCATTATTTCTTGATGTTTTTAGGCTGAGACAGGAAACAAGCCTTCTAGCTTGTTTATTCATTCTTGGTTTGAAGTCATTTGAAGAATGTCCAAGTTATCCAAGTGAAGTTTATGTAAGAAGGCATTTAAAAATCTATTTCTGTGTGGGCATGGAAGGCAGGCAGTCACACTTAAATCCTATTCAATAAATGGTTACAAACATTCAGTTAAGAGCTGAATTGTTAACAAGTGTTTCTACACCTAGAAAGATGCCTTTGACATTGAGAAGTGTCCCAGGATGGTTCCTTTCGCTACTAATATGTGAAAACCAGGCAGCCTTGGCTGTAGTGAAAGCTTTGCAATATTCTGAGAGATGCCATTTGCACTCCTTGAAAATTGCATGCAGTCACATTGAGCACTCCTTTGCTTCCAAACGTTGCTTGCTCTTAATTCACTCTTAATACTCTGACTTCAGGCATAAGCCTACAAGAAAAAGAAGTGGCAAGGGGTGTGCTGATGATACATTATAAACGTGACTCATATCCAACAGATAGTTCAGCTTTTTATAAAATAATAGGTAGTAACTTTGGAAAGGATGAACAATGTTGTTTATTCTTGTTCTGCTTGCTCTTCGTCTGCATTCCAATTTTGTTATAACTGGAAAAGAAATGTCTGTTTACATCCTCTGTTCCAGGATTCCAGAAGCCAACCAGGCTTTTAGCAGTTCTCCCTGTGCTTTCTGCAGCACAGTGCATTTTGCTGCTGCAGTGTGAATCAGTGGTTAGTGTTTATTATTGACCATTGCATGAGTTTAACAGTAAGGTCAGTAAAGACAAACCATGTTATGCAAAGACTAGATCTTGAGGTGTGTGAGTGTTCCATGTTTCACACAGTGCCATGCTGTTTGCAGACAAGAAAGTCAGTTCATATTCTTTGCGCCTCTGAAGACACCACAGAGCAATTTTTAACCCTTCATATACCATGTATCTAAATAATATTCTGCCAAAGAATTTTTAGCTGCTTTAGAAACCAAAATGGTCATTTTAAGAACTTCTTTGTTGGATTTTTCTGAGCTATTTGTCTTGTTTTTATTCCGCAGCAATGAAACTGGGAAGTGAATGATATGCTGTACAAAAATACATTTACATGTTTAAAGCGTGTTAACCACATTTCTGTAGAATACAAGCTTTTGTTTTATGGAATAGAAGCTTCCAGATACCTCATGAAATCTTTTCTTAGTCTTCTTTTAGATCAAACAGCTTTCCTGTTATAATGGCACCTGTTTCCGTCCTGCAACTTGTAAATCATGTCTGTATATTGTTTTGTATAGATTTGATGTTTTCTTTCTGTGACCAGAACAATGTCAAATTTAGTAACCTAGTTGAGAAGGTCCATCAGTTGTCATTAAGATTTTCTGCTATTTTCTATACCTTTTTTGTTTGTTTGTTTGTTTGTTTTACTTCTTAAAGAAAAGAAACAAAGAAGATATGCTTACTTTTGAGTCCTGGCTTACCAGACCTTGTTAAAGTCTGATATTAAAAGAAAGCATTTATTTCCCAAACTATAGTCATGTGTATTATCCAATGTCAAGATAGAACAGTACTTGATGGATACAATACTCATTTGTTATATCTGAATCCAACCTTGGTCCAAAAGATAAAGCAAGAGAGAACTTTCTACTTCTCTTTTACTAGATAGTAACAACTTGCTTCCCTGTCTGTTTTTTGATCACTGCTGTATATCATATGGATCTAAATTGAAATGTCATTACTCTGAAAGAAAACACAGAGCATTAATACGAATATTTCTGTTAAAGTCAGAGAATTAAAGTGGAGGAAGAAGCCTGTAAATAAGTATAGCTTATTCATTTATGTTAAAAATATTCTCCTAGAACTGTTTTCAGTTTCAATTATTCATGAAAAAATCTGTTCAGACAATTATGGGGAATCATCTGTGTTTCCATTGTAACCTAGTTAAAACAGCATCAGTATTATTGAATGATAAGTTTGCTTGGCAGCCATTGTAACATCATTCCCTCCTTTTTAGACACTTCAAGAAGCCATGAGCAACAGAGGGAGATTTTGCAAGACGTACAAAACCCCTTCAGGATTTTGTTTCCAACAAGCAGATGTGTGATTCTTTTCTTTTTTTTTTTTCCTTTTTTTTTGTATTTTTCTGTCAAATTATTCCAGAGCGACAATAGTTTATATGGATATGGTCCCCACTGATGATGATCCTGTTGGAGATACAAATACTTGTCTGGATCAAAAATGGTGTTTTGTGGAAACAGCTTGAAATAAATTACACTCCATGGTTTCTGCCCTCCTAAAGAGCCTGATCTCATCTTACATATATAAGATCCGCAAAGGAATGTTTACAAAGAAATCGGGAAATAGTACAAAAAGGAAAGAGAGTTGTCAGAGCAAAAAGGAACAAGACTTTACTCAGATTGGACATACAAAGAATCCAAAATTTTCAAATACTTTAAAAAGCACCGTTAAAAAGATTGCCAAGTGCCCATCTGCTCGCAACTTATCAACTGAAGAACAGGAAAGCAATAGAGAATTTTCCCTTTCGCCAACATTCAGTTACAGAGTTGCTATTGCCAATGGACTGCAAAGGCATGTTTTGGTAGCACAAACTAATAATGAAGATATAGTTCAAGATCTGTCTTCAAATGATAGCTCGTGTTCTGATTCTTTAAGTGAAATAAAAAGTAATAGCAAGAAGAACGAATACTCATCCCACACAATGCCTGTGAGACGCAACAGGAAAAGCTTGAGCAGCCTCGCACCGTCCGATGGAAGTTCAGATGGAGAACGCACTTTGCACACACTGAAACTGGGAGCTTTACGAAAACTAAGGAAATGGAAAAAAAGCCAAGAATGTGTCTCATCGGACTCTGAACTAAGTACATGGAAGAAAACGTGGGGATTAAGAAGTAAATCTCTGGACAGAACTGGGCGTCACCAGAAATCAAACACTCTTGAACCTGGCTTTAGTTCGACAGGTTGTATTAGTCAAACCCATGATGTTATGGAAATGATCTTTAAAGAGCTTCAGGGAATAAGTCAAATTGAAACAGAACTCTCTGAATTAAGAGGGCACGTTAATGCTCTGAAACAATCCATTGATGAAATTTCCAGCAGTGTCGAAGTTGTGCAAAATGAAATCGAACAGTTGCGAACTGGATTTGTACAGTCCAGAAGAGAAACCCGGGACATCCATGACTACATTAAGCAGATAGGCCATCCAGGAAACAAAGCAAGTCTTAGGTTTCTAAACGTGCCTGAAGAGAGACTGGAAAAAACTGAAAGCATAGTTTACAAAATACTGATAGATAAAATGGGCTTCTCAGAGGCACAAAGCACTATTAAAATTGAATTTGCCCAAAGATTGGGGCAACAAAGAGACTGTCCAAATGCAAAGCCAAGACCCATTCTTGTTTACTTTGAGTCATCACAACAGAGAGATTTGATTTTAAAAAAGTCTTATAAACTTAAGGGAACTGGCATTGGAATTTCTACAGATATATTTTCCCATGACATAAAAGACAAAAAAGAAAGAGGACTACCTTCTTCTCAGACATATGAAAGTATGGATATGAAACTTTTAACTGTGGAGACAAAATCTAAAATGCATGACTGGGAGTCACCTGACAGTGATAAAGACTTGGAATCAGATATAAATAAGAACAGTTATGCAAAGATATCTAAATCAGCATTTCAAATAAAAACAAGCACTACAAAGGGGATTACTGAGTCCCCAAACACTAAAGACCTTAAAAGAACTGCTGACAATGGCACCTTTTCAAATAGAAGTTATGGCAATCAGTCACCAGAATTTGACAATCTGGAGAAACAATCAAAGGCCTATTATTCAGACATGACTCCTTTGTGGCACTTACAGAATGACTTTGCAACACCAAAGCTCAGCCGTTCAGAGTCGGATTTCTCAAAATTGTGTCAGTCTTACTCTGAGGATTTTTCAGAAAACCAGTATTTTAGCAGAACAAATGGCAGTTCACTGTTGTCTTCCTCTGATCGAGAACTTTGGCAACGAAGGCAGGATGATTCTACAAACTGGTATGGCAGTTCCCAGGAACAGACTTTTGTCCAAGACATGGAACAGCATCCGGAGCAAAATGAAATAGAAAACATAGAAACTGTTGATAGTGGAGTAAGCAATGGAATGATCTGTGCATCTGGAGACAGAAACCACTATAGTGATACTCAGCTTGCTTTACATGATGATCTTTCCCCATGGAAAGACTGGAATCAGTTGGAACAAGGGGCAGATTTGGGCCTAGACACATCCACACAGGAAGTTTTTGTATATGATATGAGCAGCCCTTCAGATCAACAGACGGATTTTGGAAAGGGCCAAGGTTCTGACCTCCAGTATGATACTGAAAGCTATGATTTCACCCTAGATGGTACTTCTCCATCATGTCCAGGCCTTGATAGTGAAACACAAAGTCAGTGGACTGGTCAGTATGATGATTATCAGGATACAAATTCTATGTCCTCTTATCAGAATCAAAACAGATTGCCTATGATGTACCGAAGTCAGAGTGAATTACCAAGTGATGATTCAGAAGAAACAGCCCCTAAATCGTGGCATAGCCGGTTGAGCATAGACCTTTCTGATAAGGCTTTCAGCTTTCCTAAATTTGGATCTACACTTCAACGTGCTAAGTCAGCTTTAGAAGTAGTCTGGAATAAAAGTACACAAAGTTTAAGTGGATACGAAGACAGTGGATCATCTTTTATGGGAAGGTTTAGAACTTTATCTCAGTCTACTGCAAACGAGTCAAGTACAACACTCGATTCTGATGTTTATGCTGAGCCTTATTGCTACAAAGCAGAGTATGAGGAAGACTTAATTGAACCATCTGGTGAGAATGAAACAGACTATGTAGAAGTAATGGAACAGGTGCTTGCTAAACTAGAAAACAGAACTAATAGTAGTGAAACTAGTGAGCAAGTCCAAGAATATGAACTGGAGCAGTCTTTATATGAAACTCCGTATGCAATGCTGCCAGAGGAGCAATATGACACACAGTTTGACAGTGTGATCAGTGAAGAGATATTGGAAGTTGAAAGCGATGTGGTTCCTGAGGTAGAAATAAGAGAAGATGAAAATCAGAATGTCCCAGAGACAGTTATTGAAATTCCAAAGAAAAAAAGAATACGACCATCATTCAAAGAAGCTGCTTTAAAAGCATACAAGAAACAAATGAATGATTTGGAAGAGAAGATTCTTGCTGGAGGTAATAATATTTTAATACTCTTTTAAGTAAAACATGGTTCTCACTAAAGTTGGATGTTAATTTTTGTATAGTACTTAATCCTGCTTCCACTGAATTTGGTGGAAAAATTCTGCTTCTGTCTGGTTTTATTTATGAGGTGAAATAGTTCCATAGAAGTCAAAAGGCTAAAATTTTACAAGTTTGTTTTGAAAGAGTTTTCTGAACACATTTAGTCAAACGTGTTTGTAGGTTATTGTATTGCTTTGAACTTCAGTAATTTCAAAATTAAATTTCACAAGATTTAAATCTTAAAAAAAGAACTAAATGGCACACTGTTCTTGGTTTTCTTATAGATATATAAATGTATGCATTCAATTTAGAGTGTTCAGACATTACCCTGCTTTCTTTAGCAGTTTTCAAGGCATTGTTGGTTCTATATTCACCCTGGTGAGCACTGCTCTCCATCGACTGGGCAATTTATTAGGTACTTACAACAGGGAAAGTCTAAATTGATTTCATGTTTGTCCTTATTTTAACTCAGTCCTTATTTATACTCCCAGGAAGCACTCAGACAGGTAGTCAGTCCCCAAAACTGGGAGAGAGAAGGGTGCAGAGGAAAGACAAAAGAGTGTAGATCGTAGCATCCATGTATGAAGAGTAAAGAACTTAACTCACAGAGGGTGTTGACACAGATGTATTGTCAGACTTCAAACCAGACAGACATATATATAACTTTAATACCTCTAATAATACACAAATCTGGTGATGTTCAATATTAACATACACCGTAATGTTAATATAATAATATTGCATGTGCATTTAATTGGGAGCATAATAATTACAGTAGCTGGCCAGATGGTAATTGTCACCTTGACTGAATCTTTGCTTTCTTTATCTGCCTTGGCAAAGTGATTATCTAATACATTCATTTTAAAGATGAAAAATTGTGCCTGTAGCCAAAGATTTTATTTCGTAATAATGAGCATCCAAAGCGTGAGCTACTGTAGAGCTTCTTTGGTACATGAACAGCTACATTTACAATAAACATATAGTCAACTTGAAAGTCTGTTACACAAGCATTTAAATATTGCTAATGGTAGAGTTCACTTTAAAGTCTACTTCTATATTCAAATAATGGCACTAGATCGTATAATTGTACTTTGCAGGTATTTTTTTACAGTAGTGTGTTAGACATTAGATGGTGTATATATATGAAGAAACAGCTATCAATAATTAATATTTTCATTATTTTTTCCCGATTTTTATGAGGCATGAGAGAGGGGAATCACAGTCACTTTACCTAGTCCTTGTAGTACAATAAGAATATGAAGGTCTGAGGACATAATTGAAGATAGCACACAAGGAAGATCCAAAATATTGAAACTCAAATAGGTTCCACTATTTAAAGTCTGTGCATTTGTGTACATTGTTAGAAAATAAGAACTAACTTTGATGTTACATCTCATGCAATCATTTCTATAAATTAGATTCTACTTTTAACCCAGCAGGTGAAAGTCTTTCAGTCTCTTTTTATTTTTTTCCTTCTGAATTGCTGAAGTATTTCTTATATTTACAGAGAATCCACTTGACACCAAGGCCAGGTTATGAAAATGTGTTATTGGATGTAGTCTCTGGGCAACGTGTGTCTGCACGGTTGTAAGATGTCATAGTAGGACCTCCATTTTTGTTTCCACAAATAAAATAATATAAATCATTATAAAGGAGAAAAGGAATACAGCAAGTGGCTAAGGGGAATTTACAGATGAACTGGTACAGCACACTACTTCTCAGCTTATTCTGAAAACAGTATGCATTGACTCTTGAGTAGCAGTTTTGTTTCACACTCTGTTTTTCATGCCAACAAGGAGGACGTGTTTCAGTCAGAGACTCTGCCTCAGCAGTCACTAACTGGTTTGGTAAGAGTGTATCTTCAGGTCCTCTAGCATATCTGGCAACAGTTATTAACAAAAAGTCTTTCGTGTTTTTATATCTAGTGGATGAATATGATATTTTTACATTTATGTCTGCAGAACATTCAAC